AGAGAATGGGCCTTCCCCTAGATCATGGGAAGGTACAGCCTGATCCCATTGTTTTGCTCCTTGCCTTTACCGGCACATCGCGCAGCCCCTAATGCCTACACTGGCCAAACTATTAGCCTAGCACAAGAAATAGCCTCGCCATCACCCTCGCAACGTGCGAAAACCCCCGAAACGCATCTTCACTGGCCCGTTTCTGTCAAGAAACGAACGAGATAGGAGTTTCTCTTCCCTGCCATATCCAGTCACCCGTATCCACCGTGCACTCTGTTTTCATTCTTCCTCCTATCCTACTACTTTCCGTACAAATCTGACTACAGATTTGGGGTCGCCAGTCTTGAAAACCCCGAGACCTGTCCCTCACTCGCCCGATTCCGCTAAGAAACGGGCGAGATATGAGCTATTTGCCATGCCATATCTCACTCCTCTCCTACGTCTTCGCCTTCTCGTCTTCGTCCTCTTTTGCCATAGACTCCTCCTAACCTCTGAGCTCAAGTGTCCTCCTACCAGCCGGTCCGACAGGCTTCAAAGACTGAAAGTTCCATTCACCCGTGGCCCGTTGGATCATACCTTATTATGGCCGAGCCTGTACAGTGCGCTCTCGGCCTCTCCACCTTGAACTAGTCAAACTCCCCTTTTCTGCACATGAACCCAGCCAGGCCCGCTGCCTACATGCATCAGGGGCTGGCCACAGCTTATGTGACAGAGGGCACATTCGTCCGAGACCGGCCCAAGCAACCCAAACTTAACTTATTCGGTCCCCCTGATTGCATCTGGACTCGAACTAGGGCCTGTATTTCAACAGTTCCATGTGTATCAACTGAGTATTTTAACAGTCCCGTGTGTACCAGCTGAGTATTTCAGTAGTTCCGTGTGTACCAGCTGAGTATTTCAGCAGTCCCATGTGTACCAACTGAGTTGCCCCATTGGTACTTTTGCCAGCCCCTGAACCAGTGCCTGGGCCGCGTCCCTATTGGAACCAAAGGGTAGGATCATAATAATAATAATAATAATAATAATAATAGTAGTATTAATAATTGCAATAATAATAAGAATAATAATAAGAATCAGACAGCAGAAAGGGGGAGGGTTCCCGAATGGGCAGCTGAACACGGTCAGTGCTGCTGCAGCCACCACCCTTCCCCGCTGTGCCCAAGCACAGTTTTCTCCTTCCTTTGGGTCCCAACAGGGTATGGTCACACTGTAACCCCAAATCTGCAATAAAAATATGCAAACCTGCAAAAATATGCAAAATTGGGACTGGACAATTCGAGGTCTTGGGCATGGCTCGCGTCACACTGTTGTACCCTTTTCAGATAGGACGGGGCTCTACGTGCCTGCGGCAATAGCGGGTTGGTACTTTGTTGGTCCCACGATGCCGGGTGTGCGGCCTATGCTCGACTGTCCGGAAGTGTGGAAGGGCACGGGGCCCGCAATCCTTGCAGCGTGATCCCAGGCGAAGCAAGTCCCGCCGCACATCTTGGCGGTAGTAGCAAAACTCAGATAGGAACTTTGAAGGCAGATGTGGCMAAGRGTTCCATGTGAAYGGCTGCGCACAGTCAGTGTTGCTGCYGCAGCCGCTGCCCCAGTCTCCCGTCCTGCTGTGCCTAGGCATGGTTCACTATCTGCGGGTCCCAACCGGGCACGCTCCTATTTAAATCTCACACAGCTGACCGTGGTTGGCGGATGGTGCACCCGCGGAGGGCCTCCGCCACCCAGGTTTCTTCCGCCTTGTGGGCTAACCCAACAGGCCCACGTGTTCGTTGGACTCCTCAACCCGCAATTTCAACAGCTCAGGGGCGTATCAATTGAACCACGCCCGCTGGTCCCCGCACGCAACTCCGGTACCAGCGTTGTCGCCGTGCCCCGGGACCGACAACTAAAAATAGCTAAAGAAAAATAAAATAAAGGTAAAAATAAAAATACGATCGTTGGAGACCGGTGCTCTGGGGAAGGGAGACCGCCAGTGTCACTTTCAGTTCCGCCGACCGGCCTACGGATGGGCCGACAACAAAACCAAGGGGGATAGCCCCGTCGGGCCCTCAACCCCTAGGCATCTTCAGCCGCTCCGATGTTCCATCACCGCTGGTCGTCGCCCTAGATCCCTGTACCGTCGTAGGAGTAACCCGATGTCGTAACCTATAGGGCTAAGCCCCAGCCTGGGATCAGCAGACGCTGAATCCCATATGAAGTGGTACAATCTGGCGCCTAAGGCTGGCACACGCCTGAAGGCTCACTCCCGCCTATAGATAAGCGCTCTGCCGCTGCGTTCCCATGCCGCCCTACGTACCACCCCCCCCCCTACCAATCCTGCCGCCTGTTAGATAGGGCAACCAAGGGTCAGCCTACTAACCTTCGGCCTAATTGAGGGCGCAAAGTCAGGTCGGACGTCTACATCAGTGGTACAATCAAAGGGGCAAAATCACACGTGCGCCTTGAAACTGCGCGCCCACTCACCCTTCCTATTAACAACCTTAGCCCATACACAGGTAGCCGTTTGAACACACAGGCCTGGACCGTCGGCCCCTCTGTCACTTGCAAAAACCCAGGGCGAATACCCCTGTCAGGGTATTCACGCCGACAACCTACCGGACTATATTAAGCGACGTCCCCGTCGCTTCGCAAGATCAAAAAAGCTATCAATCCATCCACACATCAAAAATGATGACGAGAAGGAACCAATCCGATCGGCCGACAGACTCAGGTTTGAGGCCCCCAGCGGTCCATGCCCACACAACTTCATGCTGCCAGGGTTTCAACCTGGGTCTCCATTGTCCTGACACTAGGACGCCGGTGTACTACGCATCAGTACTACAGCATAAGTTCAAAAAGGCCCTCATACCCACCCTCGTCCCTTTGTCCTAGACATCCGTCGGCCTCTCGTTGGGTGTCCCCAGCCCTTTCCTGGTAAGCAGGACCATAATTGGGGACGCGGACCCTAACCGAGACCTTTGAAGACTTTTTGCCTTTCTCTCAAGAAACCTCTCACAATTAGACACATAGTTATATGCGTCCTTGACTCTCTCTCAAAAGCTTCCGCAGGCTAGTACGAAAGAGCTAGGTCTCCATCTTGGCCGACCATAGTCTGGTTGTTCAGGCCAGATCTACGGCCCACCGTGTTGTTATTCTAGCGGTAGTGCCCTCGCAGGTTGCGCTACGATAGGCTTTCTCCTGATAAGTACCCAATCAGGACTTCCCTAAAAAAACTCTTATGACTCGACTCCTATCGCAGGCCGTTCCACAGGGGTAAAACCTTCCCGGGCGGCCACATCCTTTAAGTCTTTACTCCTGTGGTCAGACTTGGGCCCGTGGCCAGGTTGTGCCGACCCGCGGCCATCCCTAGGGGTTGTGCCCTAGTGGTGCTAAAACTTAACCGTTTAGTTTGGTCTTCCTTATGTGTCATGAGGTTAGCACAAGTGGTCGGGCGGTGCGTCGCAACAAACACAAGCCTATTGCGGGACTGCGCATGGGCTTGTCACACATGACAGGCATTTACCAGCTCCCCGTGGGACAACACAGTGGGGGCATGGCCACCTCTCCACATTCACAACCATAGGGCACCGCCAGATCCACCAGGCTGTGACTCCCTAACTTGATCAGGGTAGGAGGGTCACACACCTCAGGGACACCTCTCAAAAGCAAACCTTTTCGCGACATTCTCAAGGAATTTCATCGAGTGGCCATTTAAAACATGGTTCCTTTCGTCAGTCTTTCATCTTACCAACCCAACTTTTCATGCCATCATGTCTATTAATTATCCTCCCTATGGGGGAGGTTTCACTCAATAGGTTTGTCAACCATCCCTTTCTTCCTTAGGACGGGTCCTCACATGACCTATGTAAAACATCTTCCTTTTCTGAAGATAAGTCTCCCAAATAATTTATAGTGTACAATTCAATCATGGCAATAGTACAACACAAGGGGCCAACTTATGGGTCCCTAATACCATTTAGATACTTAAACATTTGCCATGATAAGCTTTCGAGTCCCAAGGACTCATAGACCCGCTTTAGATTTTTGCAACTTGTCTCACGAAAACAAACTGCGTTCCCTCTCCTTATACTCGGTTCTAGCATCTGCTCCCAGGCAGATTGCGCGAGTATACCGAAGAGTAGAAAGTTTTATATTTACTCACAAGGCATAAGCATATGAGCTGTTTGTCACACAAATTCCACACAAATCATCATACATCGGGAAGCCACACATGTGAGAGTGAGAGTGATCGTCATACACAGGGGAATAGTTTCAAAACCTCACTCAGTATATACCCAACAATGGAATACCTCACAAAACTCAATATCAATACTCAAGTGTTCTGTCCTCTCTCATATCCAGTGGGTTCATACCCTTAATGTTACTTATTCTCACACCACTCGTAGGTAGACTGTGATCTCAAAACAAAACGCAATACAACTAGGTGTCCTAAGTATCACACAGCTAAGTCTCAGTCCTTGGATCACAACGCGAAAAGAACCTCAAAACCTTATTGTACATTGGTCCTTTGTCGCACACAACACCCTAAGATACAGGTATCTGACTCGTGATACCCTATGCCCTTGACTTTACTCTTTCTATGTACAGAAAACACCTCACTTCTACCGGCGTATAGGCAAACCAGCCCCTCACTCGCTCATCTCCTCCTGGTTTTGCCTATACAACTGGGCTCGATCCCCGTCCGAAGCCCTCTCTACCATTCGGCCCTGTCTATCATACATCTTGCCATCTTCCTCAGTAACCCGCACCTCAGCCTTGTCCTTTAGGAACTTAGGACAGTCTAGGGCCCTATGCACTCCGTCCAGAAAATAGAAACGCATAGCCCCCAATTTCCTTTGAAATCTCTTCTTCTTTTTCTGGGTTTTTGACAACGGAGGCGTTCCTCTTGTCTCCCTGCCCATTTCATGACTCTGAGGCAGGTGCCACGGTCCTTCAGCTCCCCCTTCGATTCCGTGGGCACTTGACTCCCGATGCTGCATCTCTCTCTCGGGTTGGTACTCAGGGGTATCCAATCTCAGTGGCCGGCCCTCATGGGTTACCTCCAATATGGCTTCCTCCTCCCCCTCTCTGGGCCCCAGAGCCTAGGGAGTAGTGACTCTAGTAGGCTGGCTCGTGGCCTCCTGCTGCCGCTGCTCAGTAGTCGGTCCTCCCGAATCGGTCCCAGTGGCCCACGAGCCCAGCTGTACCCTCAACTCTTCCAACTTTGGCTCGTGCTCTGGGGCCTCCAGCCCCTGAGGCCTCTCTGGCGGCATATCCACTTCCATGGCAGCAACCAACTCGTCCAAGCGTGATGGCTCCTCCCCTTGTGCCTCCGGCTGTGGAGACCCCACCGCTCTAGTGAGTGCCCCCTCCTGTACGTCCAGAAGGATTGCCAGTGACTCCTCTGCCTCCCCCTCTCCTACTGATGCAGGTTGGGGTTCTTGGGTCAGCACCTCCTTAGGAGCATCTGCCGAAGTAGCGGCCTCCTGCTGTGAAGCCAGCTCAGTGGGAGCCTTGAACTCAAAGCTTTCCTTGTTGGCTTCCTTCCTTACCTCTGCCTCAGCTGGGTCCAGAAATACCTTCCCCAACTTTTCCTGTCGAGATGCCTCTGCTGCCTCCTCTTGGCCAAACAGCCCTCGCACCTGCTTGCCTTGGATGCTGTACCTGCTCTGCTCAGTCCAATCAATCACTTTGGTGGCGGTAAGCCTTTCCACTGCGGCCGCCATTTCCTTGAGCTTTGCCTTCCACTCAGCCTCCTTCGCCTCCAAGCGAGCTTGTCTGGCCCTGCTCTCGGCCCTCTGCGAGTTGGGCAGTCAGCTGTTCCACCTCGTCTTTCCTGAGGGCCAATTCGTCACTAAGCAGGGAGTACCTTTGAAAGGCCTCGATGAATGTCTGCTTTATCTCCTTGTCCACCCACTCGATAGCCCTTCTAGTGGCGGCAAAACCCAGCTCCCCGACCTCTATCGCCTCGTCCGCACCCTCAATCGCCTGGCCCGCCTCTCGTGCCCTCTGGCGAGCTGCCTCTCTCCGTCCCTCATATCTGGCCCATAACTCGTCAATCCTCTCTTCACTTGTGTTTGGGGCGACTGGTGGCCTTGGCGCTATCCCTGCAGCCTCCATCCTGTCCCTACGCTCATGTATCTCCTCAAGGCGAGCTCGTACCCTAGCACGCTTTGCCCGGGCGGCTTTGTCTGGCTCCTTTCCTGTGCCTGCCTCCGCGACCTCCCCAGTCGCAGCCTGCAAACCCTCCCCTAACTCAGTACCCGCTGGCCCCGATGATGGCCCTACCAGGCTGGGCTCCTCAATGTCAGGGTGCTCGGCTGCGTGCGAGGCTAAGCGTGAGTCCACAACCAGGCGGGGCTCCGTCCTCCACCCCTCCACTGACCCTCTCGCCTCAACCTCCTCCCTGGGTAACATAGTGGCCTCTGGTGGTGGTACTGGGGCCTCCTGGCTGTCAGGCTCCACGACGCCCTCTGGCCAGGACCGCCGTGTCTGAGCTCGAGCTGGGGAATCAGGGGGAGTGTCACCTTCCACCACAATGACATCTTCAGCACCTACCCCCTTCAATCTGAGTGGCTCCGCCTCAGGCTCTAGGCGAGTCTGCTCCCTTCCTAATGGGTCCGTAGGACTCTCTCCTGTTGAAGGGGCCTCCCATTGGGACGCGTCCAAGTGGGCCTCCAAACTCCTGAAAGGCGCTGCTGGTACCTCGCTCTCCCTCTGCTCTGATGCCTGTGGCGAGGGCCCCAGTAGGTCATCCTCTGTAACTTGGTGGAACTCCACCTGCCTGAGGCCACAAGTAAGGAAGGACTCGCTTGCCCTAGCCGACCCTGCTTGTCCTCCTTCCCGTTGTGCCAGGGCCTTCCGGCCACCTCTTGACGTCACTGGCTCCCTTGCCTCCAAATCTCTTAGCCTCTTGCTTCGCTGCCTTCTATCAATCCTCGGTTCTGGCCTCTCTGGTTCCGGTCGCCGAAACGCCACCCTCAACTGAGCCCGACAGTCCTCCCAATCTTGTGCCCGCCTCCGGATCTGTCTTACCAGCGGGCGCTCCACCTCTCTGGTCCAAAGGAGCAGTGCCTGTACCCACTCATCCCTCGGAGCCCCCTGATCGCTCATATACCGTTCGTATGCCGGGATGAATTCCTCCACGTTCCCTTCTTCCAAGCGAATAGGCAGCCCATCACTCCCCAAAGGTGAGACTCTCAGTCTCTGCATCCTTGTCTCAACCTCCGACCATGTCAGGGCCTCCTCTATGATCTGGGCAATGGGCCCCTCGAACCTCCCAACTCCCCTCAAGTGACGCACCCTCTCAGACACGTCCCATCCTCTCCGGGTTGCATGCTCTCGGTAGGCGTCCAAGAAAAACTCGATATTGTCGTCATCAAACACGGGTGTAAGCTCTCTCCTGAAGGGCCCGTGCTGCTCCTCCCCTCCGGATGCCCCGAGAGGTCTCTGTCATGGCCGTGTGCCCCGCCCGCCCCTCTGCATGGCTGCCTTCAAAAAGTCAGACCTGCACATCAGACGAAACGAGACAGACAGGCACACGACAGGATCAACATATGGTTTCAGCAGTCCTTAGAGCAAATATACACCCAAATTTTCAGACATATCAAGCCTTTCTTCGCTTTCAATCATGGCATGCAATACTTAGGACGAGAGTCTATCCTGGGAGGGATCGCAGTTACTGGGAGGGGTTGCGGCTTTACCTATTCCCTGGCCACGAACTTCTTTAGCCTCGTCCCGGATACCCAATCTTTCAATTCCGTACCGTTTAGCTCTTCGATCTGGTACGCCCCAAACTCGCCGCATCGCACAATCCTGTAGGGCCCCAACCATCTTTTGTCAAGTTTTCGTGACCACTACTTTTCCAGGGATGAGTCGTATAAAAGCACGCTATCTTCCACTGCCAAGGGCTCTTTCCGCACTCGCGCCATTTGATCCCACCTCATCTTATCCTCCATGCGGCTTCTCTCTACCTGACCAGCAGCCTCTCGCAATCTTTCCTCGGCCGCTCCTACTTGTCGCGCCCGGATGTCGAGGAGTTCTTCGAAGGTCAGGTTTACTTCCAACTCCTGGCGCCTCCACGCTTTCATGAAGCTTTCTATAGGGAAGGTGGCGTGCCTCCCATACCATAGCGTGGCTGACGCATACTTGGTAGTCCTCTTCACCGTAATATTTTCCACGAAGAAAGCCGCTCACATGAATTTCGGCCACTGACCAGGCTTGCCCTCTGTCCATTTAGCCAAGAGATTCGTGATGGTACTTTGCCCCCTTTCCACAGGAGCGTTAGCTTGAGGGTGCGCGGCCGTAGTGTAGTTGGCCACTACCCCATACCCTGCAAGCAAAGTCCGTACCTCATTACAGGTAAACTCCGACCCCCGGTCCATCACGAACTCCTTGACAAAACGATAGCGCAGGTAATACTCCTCGATGCAGTTTGCCAAAACTGGGCCAGTCTTCGTCCGGATAGCCCGCCCGTCTACAAACCCGGTGAGATTGTCGCATGCATCGAAGATGTAGTTGCACCCATTTTCCCCCATTGGCATAAACAACAGGTCCAGGTGTACAACCACACCCACTTCCCTTTCCAACCTTGGGTGCAGGGGCTCTCCCGGCCTTTGCGTCGACCTTTCCTGACAAGGTACACAGGATTGGCAGTACTTGATGACCATCGTCAACATTCCATCCCAATGGTAGAGCTCGCTTATCTTTGCGCATGTGGCACTCACACCTCCGTGCCCACCTGCTATACCATCATGTAATGCCGCTATGATGTCCAACTGTCGGTTCCTCCCGCACACAATCCGCTTGGGATTCCCAACTTGCCGCTTTATGAACAAATGCCCATCTCTCACCACGTAGAGGTGCCTCAACTTCTGCGCCTTATCGCTAGCATCCCTGTCCCTCATCTCACAGGATAGAAGTAGGCCCAACTCAAGATAGATCCCGTCGTATTCCTCTTCCCGGAATGCCTCCTTAATCTCCCCTTCTTCGACCTCGTCATCCTGGCTTTCCGGAATCAGGAGTTCATCCTCCTCATGACAAAAAGAGCCTTTCCGGTCGAAGTCTCCTTGCAGGAGCATATTAGTGAGCAGATACATCCCTCCCATTAGCTGCTCATGTTCCTCTACCTGAGTAGGCCCTTCCTCTATTGTCCTCACCTCTTCCACCAAGCCATGTGTTCCTGCCAGTGCCAACTTCATCATCCACTGCGTGTCCTTGCCTCCCCACGGATCTTCTTCCTGAAAGGGCTTAAGGACTAAGTCGGCCTTCCGCTCATATCCTCTTGGTGCTATCCATATGGGATAGCTAACACAATTGGGTACTCGCAACGCCCACTTGTTTATATGGAGTCGCACATCCTCTTCTTGATCCAGAAACCCGTCAACTGGCGGGGTGTCTTCGATCGACCCCTGATCCATGCTGTCCCAGTTGACGTGGCTCAGGCCGTCGGCCCTGTTCTTGTTCCCTGGGATCCTTTCCAGTTCAAAATTAAACATCCAAATGTACGTCAACCATCGGGTGACGGTTGGGTCAGATGGTGTATAATTCTTCAAGGAGCAGGCTAGTGTCGTAGGGTCCACCCTTAATATAAATCTTCTGCCAAAGACATAATTTCGAAAGATCCTTAGGCAATGAAGTACTGCAAGCGTCTCCTTCTTAAACTGAGAGTAGTTCCTCTCAGTCGTGTTAAGAGTGCGACTTTCGAATCTTAGCGGCCTCTCCTTTCCTTCGGCATCCGCCTGGATCAAAACCCCTCCTAATGCAGTCGGCCCAACACGCAGGAGAGAGTCGAGCCAGGTCTACAGGATGGTGTGCCCAGGAAAAGCAAGTACACCGTCAGGTTGGAGGAGGATTTTGACGTAGAAAGGATGGTGGACCGGCTCCTTGAAGGTTATAACGACCTTATGAACTTAAAGGATATTCTGGCGTCCGCGCCAAGACTCCGGGAGGAGTTGAAAGGGTGATTGTCTCGAAGACTGGTGCCCAACGTGCACTTGAGTGTCGTCCTGCCCAGGGAAGTGGGATGGACACAAGCTGGGACAAGAATGGACTGGAAGAGTGCGGCATGCTGATTGGTGGACTTGATAATAAAAGAGAAGAAGTGCGTGGCGATGATGGATACGGGCACTGAAATGAACATTATCCGGGAGAGAGATGCGCTCATGCTTGGAATGGAGATCGACCGTGCGGATCACGGTGTGCTGCATGGGGCTAACTGCAAGGCAGTTTTTTGCGGCACAGCGTCGAATGTGATCATAGAAATTGGCAAGGTGCGAGCAAGGACGTGCTTTTTCGTCATGCCGGATGTGGATCATCCCATCCTTCTGGGAAGATCATTCATGTGCAGAACGGAGACCCTGATCTTCAACAAACACGATGGAACGATGATATTGCTCCTGAGTGACCCAACCTGTGGGAACTACGAAGTTGTCACCTGTCGGAACACGGGGCCGGGGAGCGAGCGGAATAGGCCTAACCCCGGCTCGTTCACCTATGTGGAATCGGAGAATGAGCGGCGGAGGCTCGCGGAGGAGTCCGAGGAGGAAGGCGGGGTGGAGGTGTTGTCGCTAAGTCTTACAGACGTAAGTAAGGCTATGGAGATCGTGGCGGCACATGAGATGGCGGACCCGGAGGCCATTAAGGCATTGAGAGAGCATGTTTTGGAGAGCCCACAGGCAGGAGAGGTGGAACTCATCTATCGACTTCGTGGAGGAAGAAAAGGGTCTGCGATGGCACAAGCGCAGACGACAGGCCGGCCTTTTTTAGGGGACGACTTAAGCAGGGCGCCCAAAGGCGGTACAAAACGATAGATAAAAAGTGTCGCCCTATTCCCGTGCTCGTTACAGAAGATGAAGAAGCCTATTACGAGCGGGAGCGAGGATTGATACGGCGAATGCAAGAGCAGGCTCTAAGGGGTCCATGCCGTATCAATGATGGAAATGAAGGAGAGTCAATAGTCGGGGAGCCAGGGTTTCTCTCGCCTTAGGAAAGGATGTTGATGGTGCAATTGATGAAGAAGAGGCATCGCGCCTACGCCTTTAATAATGACCAGCGAGGGAGGCTGGATGTGGACAAGATCCCGATGATCCGGATCCACACCGTCCCCCATGAGCCTTGGAATTTGAGGGGTGCGCGATACCCAAACCCTGATGAGGAGAAAATGGTGGTGGACTATCTGGATGGCAAGATGCGCACGCATGTTGCCGGCTATTCTAGCGGTCCGTATGCTTCCCCTTGGTTCTGCTTCATTAAGCCGAACGGGACGCTACGGTGGGTACAGGATCTGCAGCGACTAAATGCGGTAACGGTGCGAGATGCGGAAGGCTTGCCGAACGCAGACGCACTATCAGAGTCATGCGCAGGGAGGCCCATAATCTCACTTATAGACCTCTATTCCGGGTATGATCAGTTCCCTGTATACCCGCGCGATAGGCCGGTGACGGCGATGCACACGCCAAGGGGGCTAATCCACATGAATGTGGCTCCCCAAGGTTGGACGAATGCGGTAGCAATGGTTCAAAGACATATGATCAGGTTCATGCAAACGGTCAGTCCGCACATCACTCAGCCCTATATCGACGACTTGGCGGCCAAAGGGTCAAAGGGCCAAAGGAGAAAGAGGAGGACGAAATGCAGCCCGGATTAAGACGTTTTGTCTGAAGGCATATCCAGGATTTCGATCGAGTCTTGGGTCTGCTAGAGGAGCACAACCTCACTGCAAGTGGGCCAAAGTCCAAGCACTGCATGAGAGAAACCACCATCCTGGGGTTTGTCTGCAACGAGAAGGGCCGGAAACCAGACGTGAAGAAGACAGACAAAATTCTAGAGTGGTCGGTGCCTTTCCAGACCATAACGGATGTGAGAAGCTTTCTTGGTACTTGCGGATTTTGGAGGAGCTTTGTGAAAAACTTCGCCGCCAAGACTGAACATTTAAGGAAGTTGGTGCGCCAGGACCAGGAGTGGGTTTGGGGCGAAGACCAGGAAGAAGCAGTAACCAGGATGAAGGGAGAATTTAGGAAAGGAGGGTTGGTGCTGGGGGCGCCAAATTATGCAGGGACTGAAGAAAAGCCATTCATCACTCTTTTCTCTACGCTCTCTGCTCCGTCCGCCGATTCTCCTCCTGACGGAGTCTCTCATCCTCTGTGTCGTCATCCTTTTCTTCTTCTTCCTGGACCTCAACCACCTCCTTTCTACGTTCAGGCTCAGGTCTCTTCCGTGGAGGTGCCTGACTTGGCGCTTGGCTTGGTGGCTGACTAGGGCCCGCCTTACTTTGGCTCCTGGTTTGGGTTGCTTGCGGCGCCCGCCCATGCGGGTGAGCGGTCTGAACATCATTCCTGACCTGGGGCCAGACCCCGCTACGGCAATCCCGGGGCTACTTTGCTGTCCAGCTGCCGGCCCCGGCCCGTTCTCATAGAGGAAGATCTTTGGGAGGTCGGCTCTCCACCCTTGGACCTCATCACATAACTCTTTCAGCTTCCGCAGGTACCTCCCTATTTTTTCCATTAAATCCTCCATCTTTTCCAGGGTGGTTACGGCCGGCTCCCCTTCATCCTCTCTCTCCTCACCGTCTGACTCAACAATTATCGACTCTTCTTTTATGGCCCCGGCCTTTAATCGTTGCGTAACCTCCTCACTATCCCCCGTAATCTCTTCGATCCTTATGGTCGGGGCTTCTCTCTCCTGCCACAGTCTAAACATGGCCGGGGCGGTCGATGGCCCTGCCGCCGCCCGCCTGAGGGCTTCCTGCCTGATCCCTCCCGGGGTCCTGGGGTCAATGTGCTCCCCCCACTTATCGTATATATCCCCATCCATACAAGAGGAAATCAGGCCTGCAAGCTCATCATCCCGCCGTTGCTGGCAGAACCGAATCGTGTGGCCTACAATACCACAATGCCAGCAGGTTGCGTTCCGCCAGTCGAAGCGGGGTCTCCCATACCCTTGGCCTCCTTGCTGACTACCTTGGTCTCCTTGGCCCTGGCCCCCTTGGTTGTTCCATCTGCCGCCATGTCCTCCTCCATTTCGGCCTCGTCCGCCACCCCCTCGGCCTCCTTGTCCCCGACCACCATTGCCCTGCCCTCCTTGCCCTTGGCCTCCTCCTCCCGCCACACTAGCCTGCGATGCTTGCTGTGAAGGGGGAGACTGGGCCGTGAATTGGCCTTGCGTCGCCGGGAAACTTGGCGGCCCTGCGCTTGTTGACGGACCCCAGAATGGAACCATTTGTCCAGTATGGGTTTGGCCCCCTCCACACGAGGTACAATGACTACAGTTGGGTCAGGGTGCCGCTTGACAATGTGGTACCCAATGTCCGCAGGCCGGGGGTGGCCCCATTGGCGCCGGCCCTATCGATATGGGCGCGGTTACGGCGGCTACTGGTGGTGCAGCGATTGCCTGGGGGGGCTGTCCTTTGCCAAACCCTTGGCCACCCTGCAACAGATTGCGTTGCTTCCGCTGGGTCTTGGTAAGGATTTGTGACCCCGTTTCCTCCCCACCGTAAGCCTCTTGCCCGGTGCCTTCATCCCCCACCTCTTTCCCTCGGCCTTGGACCACGGCTACCGCCTTTCTCTGCGCCTCGGCATCCTGGCCATAGCCTAATGCCGCAAGTACATCAGTGATGATCCTCTTCATCCCCGGGGTCCCTGATGCAGTAGCGTCCCTTTCCTTTCTTTTCCTCCTTTGCAGGCGCATCTGATGCTGCTCTACCTGGTCCAAACTCCCATCCTCCACTCCTCTGTCGATGGTGGCCCAGGTAAGCTTTGCGCTGCCTGCTCCATGGCTTGTCGGTTCGGCTGCCTCTGACCCAATGAGCAGCCCCAGAAAGATAGCGCACTGCCTCTCCTCAGAGATCCCGTGAACTTTCCTCGCCTTCTTCTTAAACCCTTGTACGAAGGCCCCTATCGTGGTAAAGTCATCCTTGTTCATCCCCTCAAGATCTTGAATGGTAAGCAACCCATCACCCAACCGATACTTGCGCAACATGTTCTCCTTGAATCTTGCCCAGCTGCTATGGGCAGCGTCCACAACCTTCTGCACTTCCTGGTGGTGCCTATGGAGCACATACCTCATAACGCATTGGAATTTCATCTCATCTGACAATCCCACCATTGCCTGCTCCACCAAATCTAGCCAATCCGAGACCCTCTCCCCATCGAAAAGGAAGGTCTCAACCTTCGGAACGTTACTCGGGGTCCTCTCGTATCGATCTAGGGCTGCGATGAGATCCTCGATGGTCAGGACCCTTCCGGCATCACCACCCTCCGGCATCTTGGCAGGCCTCCTTTTCCAATTTCCTGTTAAGAGCAAACCAAAGACACTCACCTACTTAGCATTCTACTCCAACCTGGTCTAGCCCGCGTTTCTCACCTAGCCTCACCCTTGTCGTGAGTATTGCCATCCTTTACGCTCTGGCTAGGACCGTGCAGATAATCAAATAGACATATACCGGCGCTAACTTCTCCTTTTTATACTTAGTCCCTC